AAAACTGGTTCCACAGCTTTTAGCAACGGCCTCCCGTTGTGCGTTTGGAAACTCAGCTTTTGAAAGAAAAGGAAGGGGAATAATTTCTCTCTGACTACAGTATAGATGAGGTCCGTGACTTTGTTTGAGCTACTGCAGAATGTTCTGAAGTACACTTTTTTCTGTTTCGGCAACATTCATCTTGAGAATTCAACACTTGTTCATTAGCCCTTAGTAATTGACAGAAATGCTTTTAGAAAGTAGTGGGTTCATTGATACCAACAAAATGGTTGGTATCAATAAACTGGGGATACGTTAGTTTCAGTTGTTGGGTTCAAATGAACCTTTCAAATACTAAAAAAGTCCTTTTGCATAATCGAATCCTTTTGCATAAAGAATTTCATCTGAGAATAATTTTTCTACTTAAAAATGAGTTTTGCAGTAGTACTTTTTAAATACTACTTGTATTTTTATTTTCGAAAATTTTCATAAATATTGTAATTAATTATTTCCAATTTTAATAACTCGCAGAAAAAAAAAAAAAAACACAATTTTCAAGAAATTTTTTTATTATGGTTATTCAAACTTATACTAATATACAGCATCTTTTATATTCCTTATACATTTGACACTGCATGCTTCAACCTGCATGTAAGTTTCTCTTCCTTAGTAACTCCTGACCCAGAGACGTCTCAATGAAAGCCAAATCATGCACAAAATTTTCACCTGAAAAGAAAAAAAAAAAAGAAAATGATAAAATATTTTTAACACCATATTCTCGACCCCCCCCCAAAAAAAAAAGAAATTGCAAGAAATACAAATTTCTAACAGAAAAATGCATTTTCAAACAGCTGAAATTGTTTCACAAATTAATAATGCAGATAGCAAATGTAACATATGGCACTATTGCCACTCAGTGCAATCTCTGCATATCCTAAATTCTGCTGGCTGATGTCTTCGTAAGTTCTGAACATTTTTTTGCCTCTAAATTTTGCTGCTCAGTGCCCTCTGCTAAATTATAAAATTTTGACTACCACTGGTTGCACAGGCCCTGATCAAAGCAAAGAGGCAAGATGCTACCTGCTATTGATAAACTGCCTTATAAATACCACAAATCTAAATAAATATCAGTTTTATTTCCAAAACAGAATTATCTCACAGCTAAAGCATTGCCTTTGCAGAAAATCTTCTAAATGGAAATAGAATTGCATCCACATTACATGTGCAGAATCCCAATAATTCATTATAAACAGTTCCAAACCATAGTTAGGCTTAGAACTCACAACAGTATTCTTCTTGGAAGTCTTCCTAAGGAAATGGTAGTATATTCAGGGAACATGTGGGCAAAATCATGACAGTATATCACAAGCCTAATTCTTGACCATACATACTAGAAAGATCACAGAAATTCCTCACAGGAAGCTAGATTCATATAACAAAATTTCATGCAACATATGGCATATGGGAAAAAGCAAGGACATTATAATCACTAGCATAGTTTATACCCAAATGAGTTGCAGATGGTGCACTATGTGCTCACAGCTGATTATCACTAATGCAGATATATATTTACTAATATTTAGAAGATGATGAAGTATAGCAAAATATACAAAACATTAGTCCTTAAATCCAACACATTTTCTGATTTTCATACCATCTAGAATAATAGATTTGACGTTAGGTACAATATCAGAATTTTGGGTACATGAAATGTGAAATGGTTTTTTATTTTTAGTCACTGTTTCTAGTAATTTGTTCGAAAGTAACAAATAAGCTGGTTTCAGTCTGTCAATGAAATGTTAACTTGTCTGTCCTTAATTAAGACTCGGAAATATTTATCATATTTTTTCACCACAAAAAAATGGTCCCTCAATAAGCAAATTCAAGTGCCTTTTTCACACGATCAGTTCTCACAAACACATGAGAACATGATCTCAAGTCTTTATGCATAAATATTTTATGTTTGTTAGCAGTTGATAAACTGGTGCTGATCCATAAAAGACAGTAAATTTGTTACAAATGGTTCAGGTTTAGTTTTAGTGGTAGGTAGTCGAAAAACTCACATGGTAACCTTATTTGCATAAAATATACCATTTGAGCTACAGAGTGATTAGTATCAGGACATATTGCAACTCTGAATCCTAGAAGGATTTCTGTCCATCTGATGTTGCTGTGTGTGAGCCTTTATTGCATTTTTTTAAGTTCTGAGAAACTGCTCAATTTTCCCACTGCAATGTGGGTGGTATGGAGTGGAACGTAAAACTTTAGCACCACATACTTTTGCAAGGCTCTTGAAAGGCTGCGACTCAAACTGTCTTCCTTGATCTGAGATTATGGAACTAGGCACAACAAATCTGCTAATCCAATGATTGTAAAATGCTTTGACAACCATTTCTCTTGTGATATCTGGTAAAGAAACTACTTCTCCCTAACAGGAAAAATGGTCAATAAATGTCAGATAATACGTCCTACCAGCAGATGGTGGTAATGGCCCAATCAGGTCAACTTGCACAATACTTAATCTAGCATGAGGTGCTTGGAACTCGGCTATTTTAGATTTTGTATGCCTGTTGACTTTGCTCCTTTGACAATTAACAGGACTTTAAGTCTATTCGTGAATTTCTTTCTTTATATTTGGAAAGATAAATTTTTCAGTCATCTCGTTGACAGTTGTCCTGATACCAGAGGAGCAAAATTATGAATTTGATGAAACATTTGTTGTCTAAATTGCTTTGAAATAAAAGGCCTGATACTGATACTGGTTGTTGAGCTGTCACATCTTAATGTTTTCCAAAATGCTAATGTAGATGATTTAAATTTCAGTGAAGCACTACCTGTCATTAAATGTTGCAATTCTTCATTATATTCTTGAGCATCTGCTACTGCTTCATAGCCAGTAACTGAGACTACTTCAACTGCAACTAAATTTTTCTTTGGCATCAATATGCTGAATATCAGTTGAAAATTCCGATATATACTGAAGTTGGTGTTGTTGTCTGGGTTATGCCTTCCCATTCTTTTGCTTCTATGCATATGACAGTGGCTTGTGATCAGTAAGTATGATGAATTTGCGTCCTTCCGATACATGTTTAAAATGCTTGACAGAAAGATATATTCCTAAGAATTCTCTGTCATAGGTACTATAAACCTTCTGTGCATTATTTAATGTTTTAGAGTAGAACACAATAGGTTTTCAGTCTTGTTCTTGTTCTTCCAATTGCTGCAATACTGATCCTATAGGAAAGTCTGATGTATCTGCACACAAAGGGTAATCCATTGGGAAACACAAAAGGGCACCATTGACTAAATCAGATTTGCACTTCTCAAACTGGTGAATTCCTTCATCTGTGCAGGCCTACCAGCGGCAGAGCGGCAGAGCGGCGGTAAAATCGCTGAACACTGGTAGTTCGGTCCGAGGTTCGAATCCCGCGAACGTACTGGCTGCATGGGCGTTTTCGTGGTTTTCCCCATGTGTAACGTGTATATGAGCCAGTTTCCCTTAGAAAGTCCTCCACGAAGGCATCCCTTCTCTTAGGCAGATAGCCCTAGTGTGCTTTGCCATAATTAAATACACTAAACACCTTCATCTGTGCATGGAACTTTACAATGATCTTTTTTTATCACCCTTTAACATTTCGTGTATGACTCCTTGAGTTTCTGCAGCATTTTTCAAAAAGCATCGATAAAATTTTATCATGCCCATAAATGAACAAAGCTCATGTATTGTCGGTAATTTACATTGCAGATTACTTCAACCTTTTCTGGCAGCGAACAGGAACCTTCTGTAGTTATGAGGTAACCCATAACTTATGTTTAATATGTAATACATAATGTAATATCCCACCACACATTACCCATTTCCAATCCTCAGATGTCCAGTGTCTTTTCTCGACACCACTGAAAATGAAGTCTTGCATGTCGGCAGAACTGAGTGATTTTCTTACAGGCACCAAAACTATGCATTCCTATCCCTCTGCAATTCGCTGCGCATAGTTCTAGCTGAAATTTGTTGGGAAGAGCCTTGGTTGACGATTTGTGATAGTTGAATCCGTGTTCTGCCGTACAATTCATCGGAGATACCGCCGATCACTGTCTTTGAAAACTATGCTCGAACTGCAGTTACATTTTTTAGAGAAGGATTCGAAATCGATGCCCCCACTAAATGTGCACCAACAATAAGCCCCTTTTTCAAATGGTGAACGATCTGCCGCCTTTTTTCCCCATTTTACTTCATTCATCATGAAAAGCACTCTTACACCTTACTTATACTGGCATTTTAACCAAGTATAATCCACATCATAGAAAAAATTTGGATATTTCATCCCTAGCATGCATTCAGATGAAAATCTGAAAGGTTTCTTATTGATTGGCCAGTGTGTGTGTATTATTATATTATGCAACATGAGGCAGCATTAACATGTGGAGCTGGGAAGGCTTCTAATGATCACCTTTCTCTCTTGTGAGAGCAGGATGCACTGAAATTTGATGTCCTTATTTTTTAGAATGGTTATGAGTTTTGTAGACAAGTGGATCATCCACGTTCAAGATATAAGCAATCATCTTTCCACAATACTCAATTTTGTATGTCTTCTTCTCAAATATCATTGTATGGATGTCCTTCCAGCTGAATCAGGAGCAGTGACTTTGTGGAGGTTTTCCTTGGAGAAATGGACTTATATTGGAGTTACACATGATTCAAACCAAAATACTTCTTTACCGCAAGTATTTAAGTTCAGAGGTGTAACATGTTGTGCAGAAAATATTCTCAACAAGTTATCAGCTATGGATCAAAGCACACAAGAATACTTAGAAACAGAAGTGCATGAGGAAACATTCAGAAAAGAGATGACTTTAATTTTTTCCAATGTTAGTGCAGCACAGGTGATGCTATTTTAAAAAATTATTTATTGAATTATGACAGAGGTCATCAAACTTATTTTCTTTTTCACAGAAACTGTGACTTTATGGAAGTCTTCTTTGCATAAATGTAGTTTTACCAAAGTTACTGATGATTTTAAAACCAAAATATATGATTGCACGCATTATTTACACTGCAAAATATAACATGTGGTGCAGAAAATGTTCACAACAAGTTAGCAGCTATAAATGAAAGCACACAGGAATATTTAGAATGAGAAGTGGATGATGAAACATTCAGAAAAGAGATGCAATGGCAGTGCAGCACAGGAGATTCTAGCTTCAAGTATTGATTACAGAATTATGGCAGAATTGATCAGACGTATCTATTACTGAAAGCAGAGACTTTTTGAACATATTTTTTTTAGAGAAATGGGGTAATATTCTAATTAGGTATGGATTTAATCATAATGCTTTGTTGCAGGCATAGTTTTTATTCAGACGTAGAAAATGTTACGGTGTGCTGGCTTGGCTTGTTACTGATTACAAATCAAAAATAATTTTTGGTTTCCTGATTCTTTTCTCTCCTGCATTCTTTCTAGGAGATGAAATAATTTTATCTGCTTCTGAAATTTCAATTTCTCTTTTTTCTTGTGTTTGTTTTACAGAAGCAGTGGCCTGTTTTTGTTTCTCATTCTGTGCTCTAGCATCAACAATATACTTCGGTTCTCTAAGAGACATTTTTCTTGGTGCTCTTGGATCAACAAGCTCAGGAAGAATACAATTCACGTAAAATTTTTCGAGTTTTGGAACTAAACTGATCCAGAAAGTTTTGTCTTCGGGTATTCTTAATGTGATTGCATCTTCTCTGCACCATATATATAAATCACACCAATTCCTCTCTGTTATGGCTAACTGCCCTTGAATTTGAAAATAATATTTGTGGCTTTTCGGTAAATAAAGATTATTATCAGCATCCATCCGAAGACCAACAGAATTAGGCTTGCTGAAAAAGTCTGACAAGTCTGCTGAGAATCTGGCTGTATAAGGACATTTTATTTCAAGTAATCCATCTTCGTCTATCATCATCCATCTGGCGAAGTACAAAGAAAGGGAAAGGGATATTTAGGATCAATAAAAAGGCCACAACGTCTGATGTTTTTTCCCATGTGCTTTTCCTTGTATTGATTTAAGGCTACTGCTTCGTTAGCCAAGCCATACTTTAATGCTTTAGTTGAAACGTTATCATTATATATGATACGTTTCACTAAAGCAGCACTGAGTGTTGTTGGACGCCTATCAGCAACATCTTTGAAAAAGGATGATGATATTCTTCTTGATCTTTCATGACGCCATCTTTCAGATGATGACTGTCCACGTGTTACGGCCTCAAGAGAATCTTTTTTTGGAACTTCAATTGATATAAAAAAATTTTTAGCTGCCAATTCATATGCTTCATCTGATAGGTCTGGTTTCTCAGGAAAATCACCATAAGAAATATCCCCACCTTGCTGAATATGTCCTGCTTTCCTCATATTTCTCTTTTTCTTCTCAGTGTCAAAAAGTCTACGTCTCTCAAGACGTTTTACATGGCGCTTATTTCTGGAAGCTAAGAATTTCAAAGTTGGAGTCCTGGGGCTACTTCCTGTTACAGCTTTTTGTGCATTTTTTTGCCACTGCTGTGCTGGATTTTGATAGGCCATGACAGCAATACTCGCACGCCTGTTCATGCCACCAGCTTTGGAAAAATCAACTCTTTTTCCACCAGATGTTTTACACAGTTGACTCATGAAGCTTTCAGCAGGATTATTTGTGGCATTCCAAATAAGAGTACTGCTACACGATATCAGTACTCTTCCCACTTCTGCTTCAATAGCTTGCAACATACCCGAGGAAAAAATTTCATTGTATGTGCTGTCCAACTCTGCACCTTTCTTTGCACAAAAAGCACTACAAGCATCATGCTTGCCAAATATATGATGTGGCCCATTTCTCAAGTCAGATACTAATGCATCAATAGCTTCTTGTGTGTGCTGATAATGGCTAGGTAAAGCATGAGCTTTTATAGCTACTCTAGCACCTCTGACTAACAGTGGCATTTTAATTTTCAGCAATTTACGGGCAGCAATTCCTTTAGCCCCGGGGAAGCGCGCAGTATTTTGCTGAAGTTTCTCAAGAGCTCTGCGATATCTTCGAACAGCATGGTTAGCACATTCTACTTTGATCACCCGTCCTCCATATGAAACGCTTTCTTTCACTTTGGCCATTGTGTTAGCATCTCCATCTCCAACAAGTCGAGTACAACGTATTTTGTGAACACACTGGAGATAATTCAGACCTTCCACAATGGCACTGCTTTCCATACCTGTAGAAGGCCCATTCCAATTTCGCCAACAAAGGTGCACTTTATTTGGCATCTTGCCATCTTCAATAGCACTGCATATAAGGCACACTTTGTTGCGAATTCCAACAAACAAAATTTTCTGGGTGACCATGCCTATAATAACAGATATGCCACTTGAAGCATTGTAACCATGCCCATAGCTTCTTTTACACCAACCTCCATCAACAATGACAGTTATACAGTGATAACCATCATTATCTTTATCATTGCGAAGTTCTGCCTGCCTTTTCTCCTCTTCTATAGCAGCACACATAGTTTCCTGTGCACATCCCTGTATTATTTTGCCAGTAGTTCGCTCACAAGAAGCAAAGGTCGAGTTGCTCATATACGGAATTTCCATGATGCTAAACTTTTCCTCCTCTTGTGAAAATCCACTCCACTGCCAGTAGATAACGCACCTAATACTGCAAGCTGATTTAGGCTGCTTTTCTCCATATCAGAACAAATTGTTGCCATTTCCCCACATAAAATTTTATCACATACATAGTTATATGTAGTGTGACAAGACCACGTCGAATCACTTTGTTAAAAATAAATGATCCTCCAAATTTACAATTTAGGGAATGTTGCTCTAATGTCCTAGCCTGCACTATTACAAAAGACATATTGCAAATTGTTCTGCCAGATGGTAATGGATTTGCCTTTCGTCGATCTTCCCTTTCGATAATTAAAGGTGAATCAGGACACAGAAATTCATCATTAAGGTTCTCCTGAAGAGGCTCAGACTCCAAGCTAAAATATATATATATATACATATATATATACATATATATAATAATTAATATATATAAATATTACAAATTAGGTTTAAATTTGGCTTATTTGATGACAGCAAAGCACTTGATCTTCCTAAGAGGAGGAATGCTTTCATGGAGGACTTTCTAAGGGAAATGGCTCATATACACGGGGAAAACCATGAAAACGCCCATGCAGGCAGCCCATTCGCAATTAGGTTTAGGAAATTTAGGCAACAGATAGCAAATAAATTAACAATAATAATACACTGGATTACCAGTATATTACTACAAGAAGATGAGTCATCTTCACAACTGCTGCTTCCATGCTCGCAGTGTCAGTGTCATTTGCTCGTGCAATATTAGTCACTACTTTGTGTGCCGGAGGTTTCACATGAAGGGCCTCTACACCTGAGTATAAAATGTTCGTGTTCCAGTAAACACTGAATTCAGAGGGGCAAGAATAACTCTTTCATGGTGGATAACTCAGTTACCAAATGGCTTTCTAAGGCTCTATTCAAGCCGTTGTATAAATGTCATAATTCCCAACTAACAACGCTTTGTAGTCAGACCTTGCTATGTCACAAAAAACTAGTTTGGGCATTAAGCTTGAAGTTTTCAACTTTGTGCCGACTTGATATAAGAGTCGGCCAATCAGAGCATATACATAAAACCTATTGAGAGAGAAAGCTGTAGACACATACATGCATGCACAAATTTAGCTTCTCTAATTGGCTATGGCTTAGACCCTCTCTCGCAGGTGTGAATGGAACTCCCACATTTTGTGCCTTATGATTATGCGTCTATGACATTTATACCATCATGTGAACGGAGCCTTAGGATGGCATACTAAGAAGATGCACTGTCTTGTGGGGATAAGCAATTTATACTCCTAAGCCTAAAAAAAAAAACTTGGAAAAAAAAAAAAAAAAAAAAGATCACGACTTAAATTTGTTGTCTAATTGCTCTAATTTGAGGCACATTATGAGAGGAAAGCAAAGGTAGTAATCAGAATTATTTAAAAAATTTTATCCTTATATTTTTCTTAAAAATTCTGTAAAATAATAAAATTTGTGGTTTTCCTCAAATAAATATATATGGAAAAAAAAATAACAGCCACATAATCACAGATTTCATTTTGTTATATTTTATTAACAAAATTTAAATTATTAAAAATCTCTTTCATGAAGGGAACATAAAACATCATGAAAACAATGAAAAAGAAGCAATATTTAAAAAAGATAGTAGGCTTATTGATGAGGCTCCCATCAAAAGAATCAAACCCCAAAATATTTTCATTTGCTTCAGTGTCCCGACTGAAAATTTCACTGATTTCAATGAATATATTTTTAAAAAAATCTTTTATTTTCAAGTTCTTTCATGCAAAACGTCCAAATTTGGTACAAATCAAATTCATCCCCCTCTTTTTGATAGCTACAATATTATATTTAACAGTTTTAATAGCTATCAGTATGTAAACAACATAATGTAACACCATAAAAGAAAAACATAAATGATGACATTTTAATTTTGGCATAGAGAAATACATATTTACCCCAAAAGAGAGCTTGTATTTCTACCTTCTACGTCAGAGTCAATAACTGAAATGTCCAGATCAGAACTGAGAAGAAAAGAAAAGAACCATAATTAGTTTAATTAAGATACAATAACACACCGACCAAGTATTAATTTGAGAGTCAAGCAACAAAAATCAGCATCATATTTTGAAATATTCACTATTTGAAAATATAACGCTGATTTTGGTTGCTTGACTTCTAAATTAATACATAATTAGTTAACCATAATTAAGTAACTGTAATATCATGCACAGCTAATATCTATTTTAAAAATAAACCAACTTACCTCAGGAAAGCCTGGTTTGTCTTAGGAACATTAGCTGTAACTTCTGGCGTAGAAAAGTCAAATTTTTCACTTCCGGACCTAAGAATGAAAGAAATAAAATAAACTGCTTAAACATAATTAAAAAAAAAAAAAAAAAAAAAAAAAAACATGAATAAATAAATAACACATAACAAATTTAAGCATTAAGCTATGTATGACTACCACCCATCTCAGACAGTGCGACAGATATTGCTGTATACTGTTTCGCCATACCCTGTGTAGCTATTATATCATGCTGTATAACCACAGTTTAGAAAAATTACAAAATGTGTTATTTATATCTATCTAAAATGGTACATTACTACATGATTTGTAAGAATAAATTAGAGGGCTCTGCGAATGAAATTCCTTCCAATTAAAAAATGTAGGAATAAAGAAAATGCAGGAATTGCAAATGCAGAAATGAAAAAAAAGGGGATTATATTTTTTGTACAGAATCCAGATGACATATTTTTCAACATTTTAGAAATTTCAATATTAATTTTAGGGGCATAAAATATTAGGCCCCTAAAAGCAGAATATAGTTTTTAAATGTTCAGATAATCTTCCTATGAGAAGAATTCCTTTGAGAAGTACACATCTGAACCACAATTAAAAAACATGTACAAGAACAGAGCTGAGGACTTCTGTTTGCAGAAAGTCTGTCACATAACATATGAAAAGTTTCTTATTGGTAGATTTTTGATCAGACGGATATTTTAATGTTATACAGAGAAAGCATTCACTCCCTTTATACTGGAGATAATTCAATTTGGACAATGGCAAAAAGGCTAAGCAAGCCTGAGCGTATTGGTCCCATTCTTGGCACTAGTTTGGTTTACGCTCAAAATACACAGCAGATATTTTCTAATTACCTGCATCCCAATATCAATTCAATTCAGCTTTTGGTGGAATTTAACCATTTGTGTGACATATTTTTCAAAAAACTACACTTCACAACATGCATACATGACAAATACACAGAACCATAAATAAACAAGCAATAATATATATTTATATATAAATTTTACTAAATGATCATAAAATGTTCCAACGCTAAAAGAAAGTTTTAACATCCAAGTAAATGACATAATAAAAAAAAGCAAGTTGAACAGCGAGCACATGAATAAATGTGCATACACCTGTTAAAATATACCATAGGTAACTGACAAAGCATTTCGTAGCAAACATATGACTATAAAATTTCCAATAATACATGTAATGATGGTGAATTCAATTTAGATCGCAAGAACATGCTCATACTTTTGAAAAGATTCAATTATTTCAGCAATTCCTTGTGAATTGGAATTTACCCTTTCAATATTTCCCAACAATTTAGTGTGAATGGAGGAATAAATAAATTATTATAACAGAATTGAACAATTATTAGCATCCCCTCATACACACACATACAAAAAAAAAAAAAAAAAAAAAAAAAAAAAAAAAAAAAAAAAAAAAAAAAAAAAAAAAAAAACTTACTTTGTAAAAAAAAATCATCCGGGCAATGATTCTCCTTTGACACAGATGCAGTTGTATCAATAATTTCTGACCTTCAATAAAAAAAATACGCATATTTTACTTCGGAATTAACTTACTACGAAATCATAAACACGGGGTAGTCGATATAAAGAATAAATTATTTCTCACCTTTCGAAAACATCCGCTTGTTCGGAATCTTCCACATCTCGGGAATTTAATTTCATATTTTTTTCTTGAGCTCGACGTTTACGCTGAATTCTGGATCTTTTATTAAAACCAGGATGTTTTTTCGGTCGTCCTTGATATTTTCGCATATTTTTTGCAAACTGACCACAGTACAAATAAATGTAAACAAAACGAGTGCGGAATAGCAATGCAATAGGGTTGCCGTAAACGTCATTCTGCTGACAGCTGACAATGTTTAGTGAAAACTGTGTATAAAGGAATATATGAAACGCTTCTAAATATTATTTAGAAAAAAATATGATTTATAACTGATATCAAAATCAATTACTTCGTGAATTTTTGCAGAAATAAGATTACAATGTTAAATTTTAACTCGTAGCGCCATCTATTGATGGCTTTCCAAACTACACATTAAAATTACGTATTTCAAACTAATTTTTTTAAAATATAATATTTAAGTAAATTTCATTTCAAACCTGATTCTAACATTGTGATTCGAAAACTGACCTATTGCTTTATATTTCTGCCAAATTGCACGCAACATAGTTTCTTAATTAGCGATTCTGCGTGTAAAAAATTTTTAGTATTGTAATGCTGCTGTAGTAGACCACCTTAAAAGTGCTAGCGGCATTATGAAGGAAAGTAGGCGTTTGTTAAAAAAAAAACTCTGTATAGGTGTTAATGTTTCTGATATACCAATTCTTGAATATATACGGATAAATGAGATAAATATCTATACACGTCCTATTACAAAATATTACAAATTTCCATTTCTTAGCTTCGTGAAATGTTCAAAGCAAGTCACACCTTTTTGATGGAAGCACAAACCAACTTGCAGGTTTTGCACATAAAACTTGTTTTGTGCAGGCTTCTGCTTCATGCTACGATGTGCACATCGTCTACGCATACCCTTCACCGGCATGTGTTCAACACTACAGTAGCGTTTTTTTCCTCGGAAACCTTTACTTTGTGCCTGGGAGTATCTTCAGGTCTTGAAAGGAAGTCACCTCTTCAAAGTTATCTCTGACGCTGTCATGGCACAGAGGGAACACAGCAAATTTAAATGGAAATCTTTGGGCTGTAATCCGAGGGTAATTCATTAAACACATTTAGCGCTTCGGAAAGAGTTAGATCCTCTCCATGCCATTTATGGAAAATTAATAGTAAAAAATTAACTATGATTGATATTAACAATAAAGAAAAATAAGCCTATAATATATACATACACGAAAAATATCTTACACAATTATTTCAAAATAAACGGGAATGAGACTAAAAAGCGACAGCAAAAAATTCGTGCAGGTCTAAGTAAAATGATGGTTCAAGCTACTAATGAAATTCCTGCCTAAAAAAAAAAACTACTTCCCAAAAAATTCGAGATGCCAATATTAGAGCTTTCATAACACAAAAACACCTCACCCCTCAATATGCTTTGTTTGAAATTCCTCCCCCCCCTAAAAACAACGGATGTTCTCTCCTAAGTACAGATGTTCTGATTCGTAACAGCATGAGATCGCTAAAGGCGCAGTGTTCCCGCTAATGGAACACCTGGTTTTATTTAATGATTCGCGTATGGTTTTTGTATGAAAGATTAAAAATTAAAAAAAAATATATTTGGAACAATAATTGGAGTACAGCCAGGAAAATTATGCCTAATTTTTTTTCCAAATAAAATTTTTTATATCATTAAAAAAATAGAGAAAAGAAAATTACTTGAAAAAAAGTGGATTTTAATAACACATAATAAATGAAAATTCTGTGTCTCCTGTGATATGCTGCTATCTACTGTTTAAAAAGAAAAGTTCAAAGTATATTATAAAGGCATTGTTATCTATTTACGGTTGAATTTAAAGGTTTCAGAACCGAATCAATTTGGGTGTTCCATGTAGTGGAACACTTGAGCCACAAAAGGTTAACATAAATTGCTTTGGATTCAAGAGGTGCAATATGTAATTGCAAGAAATCATGTCATCAGTTGTATAAATATGATGGTATTTTTTAAACGATCCCTATTCAAACATTTGAACTTGTTAAAAAGCAAAAAAACTTTGCATTAATTGCTTCTCATAATCGTATCAATTAATAAACTCCCAAACAAAATATGCAAGCAAATTTTGCAAGTCCCATATCCATATATATATATTCTGCAGCATAGAACACAGAATTCTATCTGGGAGCCGAACGGAGGCTTCTTTGGCGTCTCCGAGACTATATATAACAAACAAAAACGAGAAAAACGAAATGAGAACTTCAATAGACAGTAATCGTAAACAAATTCTTAATGAAAGGGCAGACGCAGTTTCCCACTCCGTCTCATCTTGCTATACAATAAAAAATAAAAATGTGGTTTTGGCTAGAGCTATGATGTAAAACAGAGTTTCTTTAACTATGGGTCCGCAAATCGAAATTTTGAGGTCGCAAAAATTCAGTTCGATAGCTGAATTTAAAGAAACTGCATTCATAAGACTTTTAAAGACATTACATCAATTGATATTGATTACCTGTTATATAAAGTGCAAAAGGAATTTCTAAAGCTATCTTGCGATTCTGGGTCGGAGTTCAGAGATTTCTCACTCTTTCTGAAATGGCATTAAATGTTCTTCTCTTATTAAGCACTATATACTTTTGTAAAACTACATTTTCAGCTTTAATGTTAATTACAAACAAATTTCGTTCAACATCGAAACATGCTGAAATTGCTTTATGTGCATCATTGTCAAATATCGCATCAACGTTTAATTTGTTATGCAGCAGAAAACAGACACATCTGTCTCATTAGAATTTTCTTTAATTTTTTACTTGCTTAAAATAAATCCTAAAGCTACTTCTTTTTATATGTATAATTGTTTACCAAAGAAGTAAATTATTTACGGAAGGACATTTATTTTTATATCTTTATTTTATAATTAATATCTGGGGTTGCGAAAAAAATCTCAGTGATAAAAAAGTGTCACGATTGAAAAACATTTAGGAAGCCCTTATGTAAAATATAAAAATCTGATGTGTACACCACATGACTTCCTTCTACGAAATATTAAATTATACGCATTTTTTCTTGCATTTCATTTAAACTTATTGGATTGAATTAAACCTACTTCGCCGAACAGCGCATAAACCACAATAGAATAAATGCATTCTTTAAAATTCACTCTAGTATTTGTTTACCATAGCGACACTCTGGCGCTAGATTCACTTAAAAGTATTATATTTCGTTCATACTCGTATTATAACTCATAATGCACAAAATTTATATCACTTAAAGAATAGAATTATCTAATCGTTGCCCCATGTTCTATCCAAATACTATAATAAAGCTAGAACGATAAAACGATGTATAAAAGAAATTTCAGCAAATAACAACAGCAAGAAAAAAGAAACAGTTTTTCACAGACGAGTTGAGTATTCTCATTCAATTAATTCAGTTCTCACTTCGCGAAAAGGCAAGGCCAAAAATACATAAAAACTCAAAATATCTGTATTAAAAATTACGAAGGCTAAATCTTAAACACTTATTTCCTCGAAAAAATTCCAGAAAGGATTAGGCATGATTTAATTGGCAATAATAAATGAAGGCGTTATCTTTGTTGTTGCGAAGCTAAATTTCTCTAGATTGGCAACAAATCCACTAGTCTGCTGTTTCAAATGTAAACAATCAATGGCCGCGATAAAAAGGCTTAGCGGCACTAAACAAGTTTAAAATTGTTGATAATTCTAAAATTATTGCATACAGATTTACTAAAGGCATAAAAATCTCAACCGGAAGATAAAAACAACATAATTCATTCATTTTTAAAGCAAAAAAAATGTACAATTTACAAACATATAAGAGTAAAGAAACTGAGATCACTGAGCCGAGTAACAGATTGGATATATATATAAATATATTTATATACGTTTGGCGCGGCCGATTGCAACCAAAATACGAGGTGCACATCTACATATTATAGCAGTCCTATATACAAAATTTCAACGTTCTGAGGCTACTCGTTTTTGAGTTATGCGAGATACGTACGTACGTACATACGTTCGTACAGACGCCACGAAAAATTCTCTTCAGAATTCATTTTAAAGCAGTTTTATAATTTTTTTTTGGAGGAAACGAGTCTTTTATTCTGTCCTTACGTACAGATATCACGCAAAAACATAGTTAAATTGCATTCGATAGCGGTCAAAATGGATATTTTTGTTGAAATATGCTGCCTGAAACTTTTCGCGATTACAATACTTCCTTTTTACTTCGTACAAGGAAGTAAAAATGGATAGCTGCAGTACTTCAATTTGAGCTGGTGACGTCGCACTTGGTTCGAGCAATAGATTCCGGCGATATCCATGAATCTCGCCAACAGTCTTCGCTTGAGGAATAGAAGGTGAATATTTACTACACGCTGGCCTTTTTGATCTTACATACTATCACTGATTTAATACCAGCTACTCAGACATATATTTCAGAATTGCACAATTCTGAAAATATTGTTTTAGCAGACCTTAGTTTGTACACTTTTTTAGTTTTCTGATTGGGTGGATGTATTCGCTGGAGTTGAACAATTTTTCGATATTTTAACAATAATGGTTGGGTGGATGTATTCGTCGGAGCTGAAGTACAAGTTTTATGGCTGGCACAATTCCTGCTAATAACTTCGCCGTAATTACTATCCACAGCAGTGGAAACATTCAGTCGTAATTACTTTTCTCAAACCCGGGAACTCAACTCCATGAGTCTCCTCCTAAGTGTTGGCAAGATTTCTGAGAGAATAATTCAGAAAAGACTCCTTCATCACCTTGAAAATAATAGCATAATTACCCAAGAACAACTTGGCTTTCGACCAGGCCATAGCCCTGTACATCAACTTTTAAATTCCACTGAATTTGTTGCCGACTCATTTACAAAGAAAAATACAGTTGCTTGCTGCTTGATCGATTTTGAAAAGGCATTCGACAAAGTGTGGCATGAGGGGTTACTCTTCAAGCTGCACTTAGTTCGTTTGCCTATCAATTTCATAAATCTTAAATATATATAACGTTAGCATTGTAGGGTTTATATTTATTTTAACTAACATTTATTTTAAGTTTAAACTATCTTTCCTGTCAAGCCTTACTTTCCCCTGGAACTGCCAATGCCAGAATATGTAAATTTGAGTAGAACGCGCAAGCATTCAAATTATCAGCGGAAGTATTATGATTTAAAGAAGGAAACGAGTTCGGTGTGATATTTCTTCTTACTTAGCAAGCGCGGAGGTAGTTAGCGAGAATTGAAGAACCCCGCGTTGCGGCCTATGTGCTTGGCGGGAAGTAGTGGTAATCGTTCCAGTGAGCTTCAAGTCTGCTGAATTAGCAGCGGCCTTGTAAAACGCAGTGAGTTAGTTATTTTAGAGAGCCTCGTAGTTAGAATCTTGTCTTTACTTTCTTTTCAGGTTATTATTTTTATTTGACTGCCAAGTTGGCACAGTCTGTAAGCGTCAAGAGGACGCAATTGTAATTTATTACGTTGAATAAAAAGGGACTTAAACCCTTCACCAGGCTCTATCTTTTATACAAGTTTTCACAGTCACCTCTTGGTTGCGTGCAAGTTGG